TATTATTATTAAGTTATCATTATATTATTATTAGGATCATTATTATTATTATTACTATTAATATTATTATTAATATTGTTATCACTATCATACACCCCCGCAATCCCGGCCCCTGTCGGTGTTTTAAAGGTATTTCTTAAGGCGTCTGGGTCTAAGACCTCCATATCGGCCATCGTTGTCACGTGAGGCTCCACGACTTCCCATACCTTTAATTATTACTATTATTATTACTTATTATTATTACTTATTATTATTTATTATTATTATACATTTTTATTATACATTAAATATTATTATACAATAAAATAATAATAATAATCTTCATTACCTTTCCTTGACGCAGTAACTCTGCAACAGCTTTAATATCTGGCTGCAATGAACGGTCTGCGTGCACTGGTCTAAATAATAATAATAATAATTAATATTCAATAAAAATATACAATAACATCCATAATAATAAATAATAATAATAAATAATAATAAACAATAATAATATATAAAACTCACCCGCTCACCGACCTCACCAACTCGTACACCTTCTGCAATGGCGCTGTACTCTTCAACGGTTTTAAGAATTCCATTCCTTGGCAAGCTGCCAACAGTTCCATTGCCAAAACTTTAAATCAACAAATAACAATAAATGCAACAGCAAATAATAAATATAATAAATAATAATAAATATAATAAATAATAAATACAATAAATAATAATAATAAATATAATAAAATACTAAAAAACACACCCCCCTCCACATTCTCCACTACAGTCAACGCCTTTCGGGCTGAAAAAGCCCCCATACTAACGTGATCCTCTTGGCTACAGCTCGTCGGAATACTATCGGCCGATGCCGGATGACATAATACTTTATTTTCTGATACTGTAATTTTTATATATCTATATTAATAATATACATAACAATAATAAATAATAACAATAATAAATAATAATAAATAATAACCTAACGACGCAGAACACAGCTGAACCACCATAAAACCAGAATTAAAACCGCCATCACACGCCAGAAACGTCGGCAATCCACTCAACTCGTGATTCACCAATCGCTCTAATCTATATTAATAATATACATAACAATAAATATTATATATAATAATAAATAATATAAATAATAATAAATAATATATAATATAAATAATAATAAATAATAACCTTCGCTCACTCATCTGCGCTAACTCGTGCACAGCAATCGCCAAATAATCCATCGCTTTCGCAGGATACTCTCCATGGAAATTACCACCTTTAATAATAATAATTAATTAATAATAATAAATAAATAATAAGGCACTTTTTTACTTTGAGGTGGTCGCACGCGAGCAAGCTCGCG